TGGGTTGGGGGTCTGTCACCTGCTTGTTTCTATGGATATATCATTGCTCTGCCTGGAATGTTCCACAGTATGGCATTAAACAGCTCTACCTTACAAAATTCAGTTATAGGTGGTTTTATGGCTCAGAAATACCTAGAAAAACAGAGAGTCTGACTGTGAGCTCGGTTGCCTCTCCACAGATCTGACCTGTAACTTGGTCTGGTTTGGTCTGAAAAACACATCAGATTTCTGCAGAATCAATGGCTGCGTTCAGACTGCAGCCTGAAGTGATCCAAATCAGATTTTTTGGCCCCTATGTGACCTGTATCTGATCTTTTAATGACAGTCTGAACGACACAGATCCGATTTTTTCAAATGTGACCCAGGACACAAGACACAACGGATTCCAGGCACTCCAAAACAGTAGAAAAAGTTAACACATCGCACGAGGAAAAATATAATTAAAAGGCCTTTATTTGAATGGCCAAAGCCAACATGTTTCGACCTCAACTGGTCTTCATCAGGGCTTAATTAAGAACAAAGCCTGGGTGTGGCCTTCAAATAGAACACATCAACCAATAACAAGGCTGGAGTAAATTGGAGGCAGACAAAACAGGTGCACAAAGACAGGACATGGTACAGGCAAAAAACATATATATATTATAAAAAACAATTATAAAAAACAGGACAAATCAAAGTCCTCATTTAAACCTGGATGTTCACATGCTCTCAGTTTATGAATCCAGAAAGCTTCTCTTTGATTTAATTTTTGAAGTCTGTCTCCACCTCTTGCCAGTGGTTTCACATGTTCAATACCCTCAATACGAAGCAGAGTGTCACTGCTATTATGATTCTCACAAAAATGGCGAGCCATTGGGTAATCTTGATTTTTAACCCTGATTGCGTATTTGTGCTCAGCTAAACGATCTCGCATACGCCTTTTAGTGCGGCCAACATAGAAAAAGCCTTCTGGACAAGGGCAAGACAGACGATATACCACATGAGTAGTATTGCAATTAATGAAATAATTTTGTGTGAATGATCTACTATTGTGTACATCCATGAACGTTTTTGTTTGAAGGACATTTGGACAATGAGGACAATTCAAACACTTAAATGTGCCCATGGGTTTTTGTAGCCATGTACTTTTGTTTTCTGGAGGAAGATAAGAATTCATTAATCTGTCTCGAAGATTTGGAGCGTGTTTAAAAGAAAATAAAGGAGGTTCAGGAAACACTTTGCTTAATACAGGGTCACTTAAAAGTATAGACCAATTGTCCCTAACAATCTTTTTGATTTGTTCAGCACTAGTACTATAAGTGGTGACAAACATAGGCCGAGATAGCTCTTTAGATCTAGCCGTATTGTTTTTAGTGAGTAAAGTGCCCCGATCAAGAGATCGAGCCCTGTCACAAGCCTTTCTGACCACTGTAGGCTGATAGGCCCTATCTAAAAACCGATTAGACATAGCCTCTGCCTGCTCTACAAAATCCTCTTCCCGATTACAAATGCGACGTAGACGTTGAAATTGCCCAAAAGGGATGTTGCGATTTAGGATGTTGAGGATGAAATGAATCTGCTCTAAGGATAGTATTACGTGAGGTTTCTTTCCTATGTAATGTAGTGTGCAAACGGTCCCCTTCCCCCTTAAATATGGTAAGATCTAAAAAGTTTATACTGTTTTGTGAATATTCCATTAATAATTTAATATTGGGGTTTATAGAGTTTAAATATTTGTACAAATCCAATAGTTCTTGTAAAGTACCATTAAATAACAACAAAATATCGTCAATATAGCGACCATACCAAGTGATACAATGGAAAAATGGATTAACTGTATTAAGAACAAAGTTCTTCTCCCAAAGACCCAAATATAAACAAGCATAGTTTGGTGAAAAACAAGAACCCATTGGAACCCCAATCTTTTGAATATAAAGCTCATCCATAAAAATAAAAATATTATTATGAATAACCCATTCTGTAAGCTTTAACAAAAAATCACAAGAAGATTTGGGGATGTCACTCTCAATAAGAAAATATTTTAGAGCAGATAAACCCTCTTGATGTTCAATATTAGTGTACAAACTTTCAACATCCATTGTCACAAGAAACTGGTCTTTAATGTTCGGCAAAGATCCAATTCTGTTCAGTACATCTGTAGTGTCCTCAATGAAAGATGGAAGTGTTCTTACCAAAGGTTTTATGTAGTAGTCAATATATTTGGTAGCTGGCTCAGTGAGAGTGCCATTACCAGATATAATTGGACGTCCAGGGGGATTGTCCTTGGGCCCCTTGTGGACCTTAGGCAACAGATAGAAGGCTGCCAGAACCGGGTGTTCAACTGTTAAGAAACCAAATTCGTTGTCATTAATAATTCTCATGTCCCATGCTTCCTTTAAGAGTATATCAAATTGTTTTTTCATAACTAACAAAGGATTGGTAAAGAGTCTTTCATAATATCTCGTGTTGAGCTGTCGATGAGCCTCCTGCACATATTTAGCTTTAGATAAGACGACTACAGCACCACCCTTATCTGCTGGACGAATTATTATATCTGTGTTATCAGAAAGTTCATTTAGGGCTTTGCGCTCCTTGTGAGATAGATTATTC